GTAGTTATGTACACAAGTCATAGTTAAGGAGCTCAGGAAGAAGAAGAAATAAAAAATGTATGGCTCTCAAGTGGTGTCTGAACTGAATGAGCACACCCCCTTGGGCAAACAAAATAAATCTGAAGGTACTAGAAGATTTAACAAATGATCCATCTCAGAGGAAGTCGAAAGACTTGTTAAACTTATCGATTTGAGCATCAACAAATACCTCCCCGAGACAGACGGAGGAGACACGTCATGTCTGCGACAGGTCAGATCGATATCGAAGAGGCCCAAACAGTGAAGATGACACCGACAGACCTTTTCTAACCAGCAAGAACCCAGAAGTCGATAAACGAAGCATGGAGGCAAAATAGGGCCGACAGGATAATCATCGAAGCTTTCCCCATGCTGGAAAAGCTGGACACGAGGCTTTACAAGTCATCACTGCTTGGGATAGCACAAAGACTTCACCGTAATGGAAGAAGGCAGATAAGGTTGCGCCCATTCTGGAAGCCTGAGGAATCGATATGGAATTGAGGATCATTCTTTCAGTTGTGTATGAAGCGAATGGAGAAAGAAATGGTTTCTCAACCGACTCATGGAAAAAGTAGGTAGCCAGTACTTTAGATGTTGAATGAGAACACCGGGCACAGGCAATATCAGCGAGATACCAGCACAGTGGACTACAAACCAGTTTGGTGGTCTTCTCGGACCTGGGAAAAAGGCCTTCGAAATCAGCAACCACTGAAGGACAGTAACGACGTTTGCGGAAAAGGCGTCAAAGGAAGTTGCTATTGTGGATCCAGAACTACCAGAGAGAAGCAAGAGTGGTTTTGTGGGGAGCAACTCAAGCTACAGGGTCCATGAAAACGGAACCCCACAAGGAGGACATCTCTCAGTCCAATGCTGTTCGTCGTCCTGAATGGAAAATCTTGTCAAACTTCCGACAAACAGCCAAGTTCGGTTATGCAGACGACTTCAGCTTATAGTAGAGGATCAACAGACCAGCCAACACGCAAAATATGCACTCCAACTTATAGAAGAGGGAGAGTAAACAGACTTGACCTGTATGATAAATGCAGCCAAGTCAGAAAGCGATGGCCATCTGTAATATATTGCACGAAGACAAGATATGTTTCCATACAAACACGCCGGTAGCTGGACCCCAACACCACCCAGTGTCTTGGGAATCTGGTCGACCAGAAACTCACTTTCAAGCCAAACCCAGCAGCCTGGTGTAACAGTACGAATATGACACAACAGCAACGAGGTCGCTCAATACCGCAGGAGCAAACTACGTGCTCAAAGCGCATTAGTACGGCCGCCATCGATCGTTGGTAGATTATAGCTCCAGCACCCATTGGACTGAGAGAAGACCAGATATAAGCGAAGATTCAAAGAAGGCTTTTAGAATTAGTGTTTGGAAGAATTGGTAGATCAGAATTTGCAATTTTGCAAATGGAAACTGAACAACCACCCCTGGCAGTGTTGAGCTATGAGATGCCGGTCTCCCTTGCCAACAAAATTCAGATTGAGGTTTCTAGAAGTATGAGTAGAATAACTTAGGTTTTCTTCTAATTTTGAATTTAGTAGAGTGAGGGGGCTTAATCGGTTTAACGAGTGCAAGCGAGACATCCGACTGTAAGTAGAAACACTCGTCATCAACCAAGATGATAATGAGACAATGGTTATAAAGTTCAAGGAGCCTCCACCAGCCGCATATAAAAATTACCGACATAGGGAAGAGACAAAAGCCAACTCTGAAGATAATCAAAAGAATTACTCAGTCAGTTACCGACACCGGCTGATGCAGCACCATACTGGACGGCTCGGTGGATCTAAAATATCATACATCCGGGAAGGACCGATGGGAGACTTTCTAATGACTGCTCCAATGAGTTGGTAATCTCAGATTCAGATTCAGATTTGCCCCCTGAGGGGGCTAGTTTATTGGGCACCCCCACATCCTGTAAGGAAGCAGAAGTGCTGCTTTTAAGAAGTGCCCAATTATATTATTTTATATTTGAAGGGCCATAGGTTCTATCGCTGCGCGAAGTGAGAGAATGATGAGGGGAAAGTTCCTTTCTGGCACATTTTATCTGTTTATGGCAAAAGAGCAGCAGGTCCTGAAGTTTAGAGTGAGGGGGTAGCAATCAAAGGCCTACAAATATCGCCGCAACACAAATTGTCATCATAACGACTGAAATCGGCCATGGTAAGCGCTGTAAACACAGTCAACCACAAGAGACAACGTCCACATCATAACCCTCAGATCCTCGCAGAGAATTCAAAAGACAAACTAGTCGTCTTACACCGGATTCCCCAGTCATGTAGGGGGATGTAGGACGGGGTAGAGATGAAGCAGTCAAGGCAGCCACACGCTCTAGTAGCGTACACATTCAGGTTCCAGCAAGTGTGCAACAGATCAAGAAACACCTCAGAAAGACTAGCAAGCTCCACATCCAAAAGAACTTCCTTCACGCATTCAACTCTGGTTCCCAATCAGCCAAATGGTACCTGGCGGCTACAAAAGGGGAACCACCTTTCGCAGACAAGAAAACACCAAGACAAACCCAAGTTAGCCTTCATCGACTACGACTAGGGTACAAGTGCTCCTGGCAGATGATCGGAAATGACGTCATGGAATGCACCTACTGTCAGGAGCCAGCAGCCAACCCACTGGAACACTACCTCCTCGACTGCGAAGTCACACAAAGTCTCCGAAACAGAATTCAAAACTCCCAAGAAGCACACACAATACCAGCGGCCACTCTAACCCGAAAGGCCCAAACAAACCACATTCACCACCTTCTCCGGGTCCTCACACGATACCCACCACCCAGATAGCTTAGAAAGTATCCTCTCCCAGCAAGTGTGGACCCCAGTTCGGGGGGCGCGCCACTCCGAAACTGACCACGTCCAAGAGTGGGGGTTGGTGGTAAGCGTCCACTGACCGGGGGTCCGTTCACACTTGCAACCTGCAGTATCCTTCCATATCTGCAGGTAGGACAACCTCCAATCCCAATCCGGTCTGGCTGCTCCAGGAGCTCCAGCCGGAGCCACCAAACGGGCCGCCTTTAGGCAAAGGCCCGTGTCGGACTACGGTCCGACAATCTCAACAACAACAACAACAGCCTCGCAAGCGAGCGGACCCGAGTTCGATCCTCGGGCCGGGTGAAACTATGGGCAAGTTTCTTTACGCCATTTGCCTCTGTCTACCCAGCAGTAATTAGTGACCTGGATGATAATCGATTTGCGGATCGTATTCCGGGGTAATGGTTAGCCAGTGCAGTTAGCGAGTTGTCCAGTCTTCTCGGACTATTACGTAACACTGGATCATGCAGCTCGTTAACTTGGGGTGTGGTTGTTGTGTTGGCAACAGCTTCTACACCTTAACAAATTCACGCCTAGGAGGCCCTTGGGCCGGCCATCCTCGATTTCAAGGAGCTTCCATTATGTATGTATGTATGTATGTATGTATGTATGTATGTATGTATGTATGTATGTATGTATGCATCACCGTATTTCCATCAATCTTCTAAACACTTTCTTCCACTTTCCTTCAGGCCAGGAGGCACAAACTTACTTCCCTTATAAGCGTCCCTAAACTTATACTCTTCCGCTAACACACTTGTGGCTACCAATAACACCGGTCAACACAATTTTTCTGGCACAAGGTTTTTAAACGGATTTTAAGTAAATTTGGGGTGCAAAATCCAAATATGACTTTGGTTTTTGTCTATCA